TGTTCAGTTTGTGGTGTTGACATGCAACTTATTTATGTTGACATGCCTTTTGAGTAAGGTGCAATCTTATTTGTGTTGACATGCAGCTTAGGAATGTAGACATGCAACTTTTGTTGACGTGCAAGATAAATATGAACATGCAACTTATTTATGTCAACATCCCACATATGGGATGTCAACATGCAACTTTTGGATAAGTTGCATGTCCTTATTTGTGGGCATGTCAACATCCCAAGTTGCATGTCGACATAAATAAGTTGCTTGTCAAAATAAGGTGTTGCATCCATATTTGTGGTTCTAATCCAAGTTGCATGGGACATAGATAAGTTGCATGTCCTTTTGCATGTTAAGGTGTTGTTACATGTCAACATATTTATTTGTGTTAACATAATCCCAGCATTTAGTATGTTGGATGTCACATGTGGTCCTTTTGGATTTTTTAAGATTGTTTTATAATTTTTATTTCATAGCAATTTTCTAATCCCAACATATTTATGTTGCATGTTGATGTAGCTTGTTGCATGTCAAGGTGTTGATCCATATTTGTGGGATCTAATCCCAAATAAGGGACAGAAATATGCCACCATACTTTCTCTCTCAGGCCTGAGAGGAATTAATACTCTTTTTAAAAATCATTTTTCCTCATGGGCATCAAGTAGTAAAACTATTGTCATGATTGTAATAGCATTTATCCCTCTACCCAATTTTTAAAATTAATGGACCCTGGCAGGGTAGGGACTGGTCCTTTTGGAGTAAGATACACATCACTTATCATGTGCGTTCTATCCCACTGATACATTTAAAACCAAATAAAACCAGATAATTATTTTTAGAATATTTAATTTCGAACATAGCAGATTATGAAAATAAACCAATTCAACAGAAACCTGACTTGCTGCCATCAGATTTTGTTGATATAACATAATCCGGCATGTCTGACTCCATTTTGACACATGTATTTTTTTTGAATTCTGTATCACCAGGAAGTTTGTACTTCATTTCTGATTGTTTAAACGTCTTGAAGATACAGACTGAAGGACTGAAAATTTTGAATTCTAAAGCCCGGACATTTTTGGAAAATAAAAAAAAGTGAGGTCAGGTATCGTGATACTAAATTAGATGAATCGATCTGTAGATCGTCAAAGTGAATACTGCGATGCATCGGTGCACCGGTGAATCATCCTACTACTATGGCAGGGTCAGGGTTTTGGAGTTAAGTGGGCTGTAATGATAATATAGTGAAAATACATTATCTTTATTTGTGGGTTCTAATCCCACTGAGGGAGTAGAGACTGCTCCTTTTGGAGTAAGGTGTTGATCCTTATTTGTGGGTTCTATGTTCCCACTGAGGGAGTAGAGACTTGTCCTTTTGAATAAGGTGTTGATCCTTATTTGTGGGTTCTAATCCCACTGAGGAAGTAGAGACTGGTCCTTTTGAGTAAGGTGTTGATCCTTATTTGTGGGATCTAATCCCACTGAGGGAGTAGAGACTTGTCCTTTTGGAGTAAGGTGTTGATCCTTATTTGTGGGTTCTAATCCCACTGAGGAAGTAGAGACTGGTCCTTTTGGAGTAAGGTGTTGATCCTTATTTGTGGGTTCTAATCCCACTGAGGGAGTGGAGACTGGTCCTTTTGGAGTAAGGTGTTGATCCTTATTTGTGGGTTCTATATTCCCACTGAGAGAGTGGAGACTGGTCCTTTTGGAGTAAGGTGTTGATCCTTATTTGTGGGTTCTAATCCCACTGAGGGAGTAGAGACTGGTCCTTTTGGAGTAAGGTGTTGATCCTTATTTGTGGGTTCTATATTCCCACTGAGAGAGTGGAGACTGGTCCTTTTGGAGTAAGGTGTTGATCCTTATTTGTGGGATCTAATCCCACTGAGGGAGTAGAGACTGGTCCTTTTGAGTAAGGTGTTGATCCTTATTTGTGGGTTCTAATCCCACTGAGGGAGTGGAGACTGGTCCTTTTGGAGTAAGGTGTTGATCCTTATTTGTGGGTTCTATGTTCCCACAGAGGGAGTGGAGACTGGTCATTTTGGAGTAAGGTGTTGATCCTTATTTGTGGGTTCTATATTCCCACTGAGGGAGTAGAGACTGGTCCTTTTGGAGTAAGGTGTTGATCCTTATTTGTGGGTTCTAATCCCACTGAGAGAGTGGAGACTGGTCCTTTTGAGTAAGGTGTTGATCCTTATTTGTGGGTTCTAATCCCACTGAGGGAGTAGAGACTGATCCTTTTAAAGTAAGGTGTTGATCCTTATTTGTGGGTTCTATATTCCCACTGAGGGAGTAGAGACTGGTCCTTTTGGGATGAGACTGTTGATCCTTATTTGTGGGTTGCATAATCCCACTGAGGGAGATATAAACTGGTCCTTTTGAGTAAGGTGTTGATCCTTATTTGTGGGTTCTAATCCCACTGAGGAAGTAGAGACTGGTCCTTTTGGAGTAAGGTGTTGATCCTTATTTGTGGGTTCTAATCCCACTGAGGAAGTAGAGACTGGTCCTTTTGAGTAAGGTGTTGATCCTTATTTGTGGGTTCTATAATAATCCCACTGAGGGAGTAGAGACTGGTCCTTTTGAGTAAGGTGTTGATCCTTATTTGTGGGTTCTAATCCCACTGAGGAAGTAGAGACTGGTCCTTTTGGAGTAAGGTGTTGATCCTTATTTGTGGGTTCTATGTTCCCACTGAGGGAGTAGAGACTGGTCCTTTTGAGTAAGGTGTTGATCCTTATTTGTGGGTTCTACACTGAGGGAGGCCCCTTTTGGAGTAAGGTGTTGATCCTTATTTGTGGGTTCTATGACTGAGAGAGTGGAGACTGGTCCTTTTGAGTAAGGTGCATGTGGGTTCTCAAAGGCCCTGAGTGCTGAGTATAGATAAAAATATATAGCTTTCCAGCAGCACTTGTTGCTTCTCAGTATGAGTGAAAAATTCTAGAAAGGGCATTAAGTGCTTACAAACAAAGGTGTTGAGGGTGGGTTCAATCCCACTAGAGAATGTTTTTGAACTTATTTGTGGGTTCTAATCCCACTGAGGGAGTAGAGACTGATCCTTTTAAAGTAAGGTGTTGATCATTATTTGTGGGTTCTATATTCCCACTGAGGGAGTAGAGACTGGTCCTTTGGGATGAGACTGTGTAAACAGAGGCCCCATGTAGTATAGGTGTCGGCATGATAAAGATCTGTCACTGCATGCTCAAAGGCCCTGAGTTCTGAAAATCATGTCTATTGAGTTGAATAATTGAAAATTCTTATAAAAATGTCTCCAAATTCTCAAAGTAATGTATATTCATATTACCCAAGGTAGTTCTTCAAACTTTATTTTTGAAGTTAATCATATCATAAATTAGGGAAAATAAAAAAATTTTTAGGAAATGCGAATAAAAATAAAATCACCCAGGGTGAAATTTATAATTGAAAATTGATCAACAAATACAATTTTGGATGAAAAATTATAGGTATCCAGGCTTTTGAAGAAAATTGTATTGTACTTGCACGGGACTTAATTTACACCAATTATTTTTTAATGTATAGTATAATAAACCATTCCCTATTATTGCAAAACACCATTCAAGTTTTTTCTTTGCTTTATAAACATCCAACCTAAATTTGAAAACCTATCTTTCTATCTGGAAAAACCACACAAACTGAAGGAAAGAAACAAAACATTTTAAGCAATAATATTTCTTGAATGTTTCATCATCATTGAGAAATCTCCTCACATTGTAAATAAAAAATTGTTTTTGAGAATGTTTGAGAATGTCAAAAAACATTGAATAGAATTGAGACACATAAAATGATACAGGGTTCCTGGTCCAGCCATACATTTTCTCCCTTCCTGTTACACATGAAAAGATTTCAATTTCAAGCTTCATTTTGAGACCTTTATATTAAATTATAATTAAAGAGTTATTCTTCCTGACTGAGGATCAGATATCCTTAATCTGTGCATTACTTTTAACATGTGACTAAAATCATTAAAAACAAAATGGCAAAGCCCTCAATTGTTCTTTTTAAAATAGATTTCTGTGCGGTGTGTAGAAGAGTTTATTATATGTATATTCTCTCAGACAAAGACTGTACATGTAATTAGACCTAGCTATGTCTCGTTGTCATGACAGTTTTAACACATTCATCTTTGTGTATCATCTGCAGTTCAAAAGTTCTGCTTACATCTTCAGGATTATTAATAATTTTATGATTTCAAAAAGTGAATTTTGTTGTTCAATTGCAGTGTTTTTCAAATAACAGAAATATGAATAATAATTTTTTTCTTGTTAAATTGAAATCCAGTAATTTTTATTTTGACACATGGAATGCATATACATGTACATGTAATGATGTATTCTCATTTGAATTGATACACATTACCGTATAACACCTATTCACTGCCCAAGCACTTAGAAAATTGTGAAAAGGGGGGCCCTTATTTCCCGAAAATTGAAAAAGACCTAGCGAGCACTTATAGAGGCAGGGGCGGTTAATAAGGATTACTTCGTATACGGTATATCAAGTAGTTATGTTAATTGTTTATAGGTGAATAAATGTAAATAAAATTATAATTTTAAACCATTTAATTTTAATTAAATCATGTGTATTTCATTAGTGAACATAAGAACCTTAGCTCTGAGAAGTTCCACACCTTTGTTTTATACCTCTAGTTTTGTCAGATCTGTAGGCTTTGGTTTGAAATTAGTGTGGTTGTAGTGACAAATCCAAGTGTATTAGCACTAGCAAGTTACGCCAGAGTAAATAGATCTAATCTAAGATTTGCTAATGAGTACTTGAATAGCTACATGTATTTTGTCGATCCCTTGTCATCCTATTTCTCTTGCTTTTGGACAACTCATCTTCATCTATCAGTTTATTTTGTTTTATTTCGTACTTACATGGAACCTTTACATTGTTGTATTATTTTCAGGTGACCATTAAGGCCCTTTGGCCTCTGGGTAGTATGTCACATACCTTTATGACCTGAGTACTGAACATATATTTGATTTTTCTTACAGTCCCTGCCAGATAATGAAATCCACACGTACGCCAGCACAGTACGACAAAACGAGGAACTGACCACTAATCTCTACTGTGTGTTAGAAAGCCTCCCTCAAGCTCAGGTTTGTACACCACAGAATCATTTTAATTTGTGGGAGTAAATGTTCATTGGTATAGTCAGAATTTTACTGGTACATTAGAATGTAATCTTGTTCATAACAGACAATTCAATTAACTAAAAAATGAAGGGTAAGGATGATCCATGAAATCCAATAAATTTTGGCCACCATGAATGAACAGTTATCACTGCTGTTGATCTAGAAATACTTTAATTCCAACTGAAGCATTTGGTTTGATTGGATAAAAAAAATACTTTATATTTTGTAATTTTTTTTGCCTATGACTCAAAAACATTACATTTAAAATTTGAAAAATTTGAAGGCACGTTTTAAGGAAAAGATGTGGTTTATAAAGCATAAACTGATCCAAATTGATACAGCATATCTTAGGTAGCTCTTAAATTCATTCATTACATGAACATATAAGGATGTTAAACATGTATCATAATCAGAAACTGCATTGAAATTCAGAGAAAAGGTGAATGTTCTAAAAGAAAATTATATCATTAGAATCTTGGTGGGGAATGTTTTGTTTGGTGAAGTAATGTATAGAATCATCCATTTGTCTTTTATTGTGTATCAGGTGATACAAACATTGGAAATTTGATTAATATTATACAGTTATTGACTTCTTTACAAACAACAGCTGTTTTGTTTTTTCTTTCAAAAATTAAAGCCTTGCTCAAAGTTTTGAGGATGAACGTTCCCCAAAATCTTTCTCAAAGTCCTTAATATGGGCCTGAAATTGAGACCATCAAAAATTTCACCTTTTATTGCCATTTTTGTTGGAAACACAATCTGATCCAATGTAGCTTATCGTACATATCGTTTTGTTGTGGAAGTAGTAAAAGATTATTTTACAAATTTTTTTGTTGAATTTTAATAAAATAAAACAACACAGAACAAAAAGTTCCAGTACAAGATGATAAAATAAAACTCATGTGAGTGGATGAAATGAAAATAAATTCTAGTTATTTGTATCTGAATGAAATTTTCAGACAGCATTCAAAATGTTGATGACTTCCCAAAATTAAGAATTTTTATGGAAGTAAATGTGACATCAATTTTGGATCAACCTTTGTAAATGAAAAAGATATAACCATCTGAGATAGACTATTCCAAACATTCAGTTTCATATTCAAATGTTCCAGTAAAGGATATATGTCAAAGCTAATCTTGACATTTATTTTGAGACTTTTATGTGAAAAATGTTTTATTATAACTGCTAAAGTTAATATATTTTACTTGTATCACATGATGTAGAAGAGGATAAGAGGTTTCACTATTTCAGGTTTTTAATTATTTTTCAATCATAAGATTCAAGTTATGATACTAATAAGATGGCTTTTAAATGAACCAGTCTCTTCATAATGTGATTGTAGGTGTAATAATATTTTCCACTTTTCCGTCTTTTGTTACATTTTGTCGTCTAACTTGTTTTCTACCTGACAACGTTACCAGTGTGTGATGTCTAATCCGTATTGATTCCTGTGTTAATTACATATCTATGTTACACCCTTTAAAAGCTGCTTAAAAATACTCAAAACCAGTAATGAGATCAAATATTGTGGTTTCCATGGGAACTCCTCAAAAGGTCTGCAGGAATTTCACTACTGATTGCCTGTCATTACTTGATCATATTTTGGTCGTAGACTTATAAGTTGATGATATGCGATACCTAAAATCAAGAAAAACTACAAAATCATTATCGAAAACAGTTTTATTCAGATTATAGATTTTAGACCAGTCAAGTTCATTATATTTTATAAAGCAACTTACATCACTGTTTTATACTTGATAAAAAATTGTAATTAAGTACAGCAAGGGTAGAGTTCTTGTATCCTCACCTGTGACAACCAGTATTGTTCGTTACCTTAATTATTTGATTGTGATGTACCAGGTAAATAATTTCTCAGTAAAGTCATCAGGAGGAGAAGTTTTATGTATATCCATAATTATTTGGATTAGAGAAAAAGAATTGCGATGTAGGAATGACATGAAATTGATATAGTAGTTTCGGTTAATCTGGATTAATTGATCCAGATTAACTTACAATAACTTGGCCACATATCTATTTTCTTGGATTCATTCTGTCTCACGAAATTACTTGTGATGGGACATGAATACTGAAGTCAGTGACACTGTACATGTATAAAGTATGTATAAAGTTTGTAAATCATTAATGACAATTCCTTAAATAAATAACTTGTATTTTACCATTGTTCTTCTTCAGGTTCTGGACCCGATCTGTCACCAGCTGTTTGAGTTCTACAGATCTAAGGAATCGGACCTAAGGACCTTCAGTAAGGAGTTCATACCTGTCATTATCTGGGTCTACCTGTCTGCTCTCAGCACTTCAGGAAAAAAGGTATAACAGCAAACAGGGGTAGACATGTTCATAGTTTGGAATATACGTATTCAGTGGTGAATACATGTACATGTGACTGCATATGAAATTAACCATGCTGATATAAGTAATGGGCTTTGTGATTAAAACACCAATTAATAGCTTACCTGAACAAAAGGCTCTTTATAATAAGCTTTTCTGATTTTTTTTGTCCATTGTCTGTCTTTGTTGTTGTCTTTTCACATTTTCATCTTTTTCTCCAGAACCACTTGGCCAACTTCAACCAAACTTGGCACAGAGTATCTTTGGATGAAAGGGTATTCAAGTTTGTTCAAGTGTTGACCCCCTCCCCCCACTCATCTTTCAAGGGGAGATAATTAAGAAATACATGTAGTAAAAATTAGGTTTGGTCATTTTAAAAACTTCTTTTCAAGAACTGAAGGGCCAAAAAGTTGAAGTCATGTGAAAACTTTCTGATAGATTCATATACATGTATCTTCAATTAAACTGCTGGGGTTAAGGGATGGGGGGTACAAATTGACAAAGGACAAACAAATTAAGTGTTACATAGGTGTATATATATATATATATATATTGGAAAAAACCTTTAGACAGCAAAGCCATGATATATCATAGTTATATGGAAGCATCCTCAGGCAGTGTATATTCAAGTTTGTTCAAGTCATGACCCTCGGAGTAAGAGGGACCAAGATTAGAAATCAAAGTTTTATATACAAATGTTTATATACAGCAAAACTCGGTTATAACGAAGTCACTGGGACCTATGAAATTAATTCGCTATATCCATAATTCGTTATATCCGTATAAGAAATTCATTAAACTTATACAACTGGGGATCCAAGATGACTTCGCTATATCAGTGAATTTGCAATATCTGTGTCCGTACTAAATGAGTTTTACTGTAGTAAAAAAATCTGATGAAGTACAGGAATCCCATGGCATGGGTATTCATATTCAGCATACAAAAGCATCCTGAGCATAAATTAGTGTTATTTTTTTATCCTGTTCTCTGCTCCTAAGTACTTAATACAAGATTAAATGTAAAGTTATGTTCAGCAACAGGTGTGTTAGGGTGGGGGTCTCTTGACTACATATATGAATAATTGCTTTAATTTCATTTTTAGCTCACCTCAACGAAGTTGGGGGGAGGTTATGTGATACCCTCGGCGTCGATGTCGGTGTCGGCGTCCCGGGTTAAGGTTAAGTTTTTTGGAGCAGTTTTCTTTTTAAGTACTTCTATGTCCTATATTGATTAGACATGCATGGAAGATGTTTCTAATGTGTTTCATTGTACCAGTCAAAGTTTCAGATGCTGCAATTTCAGCAACAGGAATGACCCAGGTTAACATTTTTGGTGCAGTTTTTGGTGTAGGTCTCATTTCCGAAATTAAGCCCTATGTTGACCAAACTTACATGGATTATACATCTTAGGATGCATTATTTTTTTTTTCCATTGAGTTTAAAGTTTTTGGTGCAGGTTTCATTTCGAAGATACTATGAGCCCTATAATGACCAAACTTGCATGGATGGTACATCTTTTCCGGTTGAGTGAACAGGTTAAAGTTTTTGGTGCAGGTTTCATTTCTCTATGAGACATATACCAAACTTGCATGGAACACAAGATTAAATCTGACCTAGATATTGTGGACGAGTAAACAGGTTAAAGTTTATGGTGCAGGATTCATTTCCAAGTAACTTTGAGCCCTATAATGACCAAACTTGCATGGATGGTACATCTAAGGGTGCATTCTACTAGGCTGGCTTCAGAAGCTGAATCTGACCTACATTTTCCGGATTAGTGAAAAGGTTATTTTTTTATACAGGTTTCATTTCCAAGTTACTCTGAGCTCTATGTTGAACAAACTTGCAATGATTGGATGCACACTAATTTTTTTGAATTTGACATACATTTTTTTTTATTGCAGGTCTATCACCAAGAAACTATAAGGCTTATATAAACCAAAGTTGCACAAATGATGCATCGACTCTCAGGGATTTTAATTACATTTTCATGAAAACTTTATATAGGTTTTCCATATCAAAATTGTTTTGCATTTTTGGATGCACACTTTTTGTTGGTTAATTGTGTGACTTTATTTGCCTTACACATTTCATTTTTTTAAATCTTTCTCAGGTGACTGTGAAGACCCTTGTGCCTATTGTTTATTGCAATGATTGTTTTTTTTTTTGTTTTTTTTTTTTGGCTGAAACAGGGAAAACTTTATATTTTTCATCAGTTACATGTAACACACACAAAAAAAGAAATAAAGTCTTCTTCTCATCACAGATTTAATTTGGCTTGAAAGAGTCTCTACCCTTCCTTGGAAAGATGTTGGTTGTCTTTATTTTCATGCTCATGTGTAAATGATAGGATCATTAAGATGTCTATATTGCCAATCATGATAATCGATGGAAACAAAGCATTCACAAGGGAACTCACACAATTAGACATTTGTAAAATCACTGTTACCCAGTAATCTTTTTTAAGCCCAAGAAACGACAAAAAGTAACATTGATGCAAACCATGAACAGTTGTCTTAGAATAGATTCAATCATACTGTAGATTCCTAAATATATGTGAGAAATTATTAATCCCATAAATTTGCAAGAAGTTTGACTTGGAAATAAAAATAGATATGCTCTAATGTATTTATGTATTGCTAAAATACATTTAGAATGATTTCATAAATAGTTCATTTGCAAGTTCTTGTTCTCGCAATTTGACATTTATTGAGTCATTTTGTGATATTTAGTACTCACATATAATAAGGAATCTTCAACTTTTTTGCTAATTAAAAGAATGAATTTTGGTTATACCAAAATACAATTTTTAGCTCACCTGAGCCAAAGGCTCAAGTGAGCTTTTCTGATCACAATTTGTCCGTTGTCTGTCGTTGTCGTCGTTGTCGTTGTTGTTGTCGTTGTCGTTGTTGTAAACTTTTCACATATTCATCTTCTTCTCAAGAACCGCTGGGCCAATTTCAACCAAACTTGCCATAAAGTATCCTTAGGTGAACGGGATTCAGGTTTGTTCAAATGAAGGGCCACGCCCTCATTCAAGGGGAGACAATTGGGAATTACTGAAAATTTGGTGGCATATTTTAAAAATCTTCTTCTCAAGAACCACTGTGCCAGGAAAGATGAAACTTATGTGGAAGCATCTTCAGGTAGTGTAGATTCAAATTTGTTCAAATCATAACCCCCTGGGGGTAGGGCGGGGCCAAAATGGCCGACCAAAGTTTTACATAGAAATACATAGGAGAAATCTTTAAAAAATCTTCTTCTCAAGAATGACAAAGCCATAATTCATCATATTTATATGGAAGCATGCTCAGGTAGTGTAGATTCAAGTTTCTTCTAATCATGACCCCCGGGGGTAGGGCGGGGCCAAAATGGTCGACCAAAGTTTTTAAAGATATATATAGGAAAATTCTTTAAAAATCATTTTCTAAAAAATAGCAAATCCATGATTGGTCATGGGACTACTTTTGGATTTAAACTTTATAATAAAAAGCCATTTTCTACTTTTTCCTACCCTTAGTGCTCAGGTGAGCGATGTGGCCCATGGGCCTCTTGTTTATAAAAATGTTTTGAAGATTAAGACAAATTTTACTGCATGGATTTTAAAAGTTTAGAACTGCCGTACCAAATAAATTTTTTATGACTTGCATGTTAGTTAAGAAGTAAATCCCTATTGGCTTAAACATGTGAGTGACATACGAATGAAAATTGATGGTGTCTTTGCATTATTTGGGAGTAGGTGTTACATCTGCAGGCAAGACATTGATTATATAAATTGTGAATGATTTGATTTTTTTTCCCTTTTAATTCCAGACTGTAAGAGGACTTGAAGCATTCCTGCTAGGTGTCTACAATCTGGTAAGATTTTTGTGATGGTGACAGACTCAGTTTCTATCTCTGACTCAAGAGAAATTGATGAATACCCTGTTCACTCATAAACTTAAATGCAGAATTTCAGTCCATTATACCGGTAATCATCAGTACAGATTATGTACATACAGTTGAACTTCAGTATCTCAAACACTGAAATCTCAAATACCATGGATAGGTTGAAGTACTTTTAAGTCTCAACCTATTATTCTTTAAGTATATTACTCTGAATATCTCAAATCTTCAGATGTCTCAGCTAAGGTGTTTTTTTTCTATCACATTGAGTTCTAGATAATAAAGTTTGACTGTACATATTCTATTTCATCTCTGAAGTTGTCAATGCACATTCATGTTACATGAAGTTGATGGATTGGCATTCAGATTGATGTTACTTTGGAATTGAAATTTGATGTGTGAATGCAAATGGGTGTTTTCCTCACAACTTTGAAAATCCAGTATATACTGTGGAATCACAAGATTGTGTGGTGGCTCAGTATTTGTAAAATCCTTGGGTACCCTGCCTCCACAAATTCATATCATCAATGAATTAATAATTTAGGTTTTAAAGAGACATCTTTCCTTTTTCAGATTTTACATCGTCGGAAACCCACGGTCGTCTTGGTAAGAGAAGTGAGACCGACCGTGGGTTTCCGACGATGCAGATTTTAGTGAATATATGAAATTACATGCATGTCCCCTTCATTAGGCAATCTTTGAATATTGATCCCCACAAATTTTAATGATTGCACAGTATTCGATCAGCTGTCTTGTAGTGAGGAATACATGTACTACTGACAGTGAAATATGATGTTGCATCAGGGCCATTTCTCCCAATTTTCTTTGAAATTTACATTAAATTTGTATGTATTTAAGCCAGGCACATTGCTCATAAAGCAATAGGCAGCTTTTGTGACAGTGTTCAGCTCGGCATGCTGACTGCTTCACACCCTTATTTAATCTGATGAATAAAGCAAGGCTTAAGTATTTCAGGTTACCTAATTGAAGCAGATGAGCCTCTCAAATTTTACAAATTGTTAAGAGTTTAATTGAAAGATTATATACATTGAAGAATTACTTTCAGTTTAATGTTGTTTTTTTATTTTGGGGATATTTTAAAATTTTCAAGGTGGAATCATGACTTTGTGTGGGTTGATTATAAATACTTTGTTCTGACAGCTAGGGAGTCTATTAGAGAGCTGCAGCAGTTAATATTGTTATACCCTTATAAATATCATTCTAAATATTTATTACTTATAAAAAGAGCTGTTTATAACATCGGTCTAACAATTTCACTATTGACCGGTCTTACATAAGAATTGTTAGACCGCAACGTCAGTTAATAATAACTTCATGAAAGTATGTTTTGTGATAAATAATTTTTGTGATACAATAAATATATAATTGATTTTGTTCTTGCTGAGCTTGATGTTTTATATTTACTGAAGAAGCCATAATTTTCCATATAAAATAATTGATAATATAGCATGTATTGATTAAATCATAAGTGTATAGTTATAAATTATATCGTCTGGCTACAATTTCTAGGGTTTTTTTTGGGGGGGGGTGCAATTTTCAAAGATGATATTATTTTTGCTGAAATTATATTCTTTGATTTATTTGAAAATAAAACATATTTTAGAATTCCAATTTTTTCCACATGCCAGAAACTCTCATGTGCTAACAATATAAGTTAATCCTAGCTCTTTATAAAGATGGACATGTAAATTTCATATGTTTGTTCCAAATACTTTGTTATTCACCGGAAATGCAAATCCCCCTCCCATACACAGATCTGTGCCAATTGTACAAAAATCCAACAAGACAAAAAAGGGAGGGGTAAATTTCTGGTAGAAATATAACCAATGCTTCCTGGAACCTTATATTTATTCTTTGTATACATCTTGTTTAATGATTAAATGAGTAGACCTAGGAGACTTTGCATGAAATTTTTCTTGCGACATACTAATATCTGTCAATCTGCATGCTTCCTTGAGGAAAGCATGTTGTTAAACTGACTTCAGCTTCTTGACAAATACCGTGGAAAAACTCTCAAGTGATATTTTTGTATGCCACAAGACCATTTAAAGTTAATACCAGTAAAATGTTCCCAAGAAACCGGGGAAAAAATGCTCATGGGGAAAAAATGTTCTCTGTAATTATAGCTAGGATTTTTGCAGCATTTAGCATCTCATTTGCAGCCAATATCTAATGGTTCTGTTGATGGCCTACCTTTAATTTACCTGAGAATGACTCTGCTTAGCTCCTCATTAGTTTCAAACAGGTGTTCACAAGCTGTCTCTCTTTACCATAAGGGTTTTTTTTTCTTCTCTAATTTTCTATCCTTTTTTGTCTGTCTTAACAATGAGCATGTTATTATGTAATTCTTGAAGATTTCTCTAATAAGCAAGACTCGGAAAAATTATACTGCAGAATTGTCGTAGAAATGAAGGTTAATTGATTTTTTTTATGTGTTTTCATTAAAATGGATGAACAGATTTGAGTTTTGATTATCATCCTTAAGATGACACAGTCCCTGAATCTGAAGGTTTGGATGATATTGTTTTCTGTTGTGCTAAGTGGATGTCACAACTCCACTGGATAGAACATATGTTTTTGGCAAGATTAAGCTCCTGCCCTGAAACCATATACCAATACAGTGTATTTGTAAATCAAATCAAAAATATATATACGGGTACTTTGCATAAATTATGAAAAGTGTTCTAATTCAGAGTTATTTTTTCATGCTTAGATTTTATACTTCCTTGATCTAGTTTTTCCTGAAAGTCATGAAACCGATTTTTATTGATATTCAAATGTCAGTTTTGCAATCCATGTAATACCATGTTTTTTTTTTCTCTGCACGAATTTCAGATCTTCTGATTTGTTGAATTTTCTTTCAACTATGATATAACTGGCTATAGATGAATGCTGAATGAATCTTCTGATTTTCATGCCCCCACCAGGAAATGGCTGGGACATATGGTGTTACCCTTCTCCATCAGTCATTCCCTCATTTTATCCTAGTTTCTTTGACTTATTTTTGCTGTTACTAGAAAATGAGCTGATTTGTAGCACATATACCGGTAGTAGCTTTATATTGATGACTTAAAAGTTTTGTGTCTGGTAAATTTTAGTTTTAATTGTGCCATTTTGACAAAAGAGTTATTGCCTTTCGACTTTGAAATTTTTTAATTTTTCTCTTTTTCTGTGTATTTTTTTTTTTTTTGGAAAGGGGTGGGGGGGCTTTGCTTGTTTATGGTCATTTTTTATATGGCTAAGGCCTAAAGATGGAATTGTACATTTTTTGTGGAATGACTAATTTGGATGACCTGAAAGTAGTAATGACCAGTGAGAACACTGAGGTAAGGTACCCTTATTTAATACTTATGAAAAAAGCCATATAGCTAAACATCCCCTCATGTCAACCTCAACTGTCTGAGATCTGTCTAGAAACAAAATTTCAAATGTGAATGCGCCCGCATGGGGCAGTGGTTAGAGCGTCTACTCTAGAGTAGCGAAGTAAGGAGTTGTTCCTTACATCTCGGGTTCGAATCCCACTGTGGGACGTGGAGAGGGGTCCTTCGGATGAGACTGAATAAACCGAGGTCCCATGTCGCAGTAGGTGCTGGCACAAAAAAGATCCCTCCCTGCTCAATGGCCCTGAGTGCCTAGCATAGGACAAAATTTGCAGCTCTCCACCGGCAAGTGGTGGCATCTCCATATGAGTGAAAAATTCTTGAGAGGGACATTAAACAATATACAGTCAATCAATCAAATGTGAACAAAATTCCTCGAGAACCTTTGTTGTAAAATTGGCATGTACAGTATTTTATTCCAATCACAGAGAACATCATTACTCCCCAATTTTAAGGACAAAATCAAGGGGTTAAAGAAATGTTCTTTCTATTAATCTAAAATGCTCCACCCACCTCCAAAATGAAATGACTGAGTTTAAAAGTTTGCTTCTGCAGATATATAATTTGAAATTGATAACATAAGTAATTCTTCACATTGAAAATAAGTAGAATCTCATTTTGTATTATTTGCATTTTTCAATTAAGGTCAGACGACACGTTCCTCAAAAATATATAATTTTTCCTAAGAATTTGTCATTGAACTCTAGGTACTTAAACAAGTTTCCTCACAAAAAATTAGGGTAACTTACCAGGCATTTGAACAAGATACCACAGAGTGATATTTCTTAAATAATCAATGTAGGTAATTTTCTGCATGAACTATATTACGATTTTTTGCGTACTTATATTTAAAAACATTTTGAAAACAATGTAGAAATCTCAAGAGAAGGACAAATATGAATATTTCTTTATATAATAAGAAGAGATACAAAACATATACCCGGTATTCGAGGAATGTGTCATCTGACCTTAAAGTAAAAATCATCAACATATTTCTCTTGATACAATGGGCTACTCAACTTATGCTTTCTGTCAATTATACCTTTTGCAGTTTTTCTGCATAATAATTTTGAAAACTAAAATTTCCTTGAGGATTCATAATTTGTACTTGCATAACCACCCATCCCTCAGCTTGAAAACTTTATAAGATGCAAAGGATGCCACTTCAAGAAGACACACCTACAAAATGGTCGTGATTTTTAACCTCTCTGTACTTAGAAGTCAAGTCCATGCACATATTACATTTATGCTCAAGATGGACATGCATACAAAAGACAGATTAACTTTCCAGTGTATAAAATTAAGTCAGCAGCAATGGACTTTGCATTGTCAAGTCATTAGTTGATTCATTTAATTGAAATGGATAATGATAATTAAATTTTAAAAAAAACAGCTTTTCCTGGTGTCAGCATGTTCAGTTAACAAAATACTTCCACAATATTGAAAATGTATGTTTCCTTAATTACCGGCCGCCAGGAGGCGGTCGGTTATATGATATGAAAGTTTTAAGTCGCTGTGCGTTTCTGCGGAGTTGAAACAATTTAAATAAAAATATTTAACATTAATATAATA